CCTACAGATTATATATACAGGGTGTCTCGCTTAAAAGTGGAACAAGACTGTATCTCGTCTACCGTTCGGCCGATTTCAGTAAACTTTTTTTTGTTGGACACAGCTTCAAAAAATCTAGCTCGTACATACGTCGCGTTCCTTGAAATTCGAAACCGTGGCCAACTATGATGCAATTTATATGGTTAAAAATCGGAAAGCCATATTAGGGATTTTTTATCCGAAAAATTTCCACGAATTCTTGATCAGGACCCCAGAAAACCCTACCAACCAAATTTTCGTTGCCACAGTATACAGGGTGCCCGGGATAATTTGTGTAATTTTCCTAAAGGTAATGAAATAAAAACTACAATTTGAGATTAAGAAAGAATGTTACTTTTGAAAATTATTTGTCTAATTTTGATATATTCCAAATGGTTTGTGCCACAGCTCTATCTCCCATTTATGAAAGTTTACGTTTATGTATGAAGCACCAGTGACTCAAGTTGTTGGTACAATATTATTATTTTGAGAAGGCTAACACAGTATACGTGATCAGATTGATTATGACATTTCAACATTAATATATTCGTAAATCAACCCTTTACGTGAGGTTTACAGCTTTACGCTGAATAGACCTGAAATAAAAGACAATAAAAACCATTTTTGAATTTTTAAAAAACTCATAAATAAATTATACATTAAACTAGCAAGAAAAAGCAAATCAAAAATCCAATAATTCGCCTTTTTTAAATAACTAAAGAACCAAAAATAATATTGACAAATTTGAAATGCCATTTTGTGTACCCCTTAACTACGTAACTTATTCCCATTTAACCANATAAAAATACCATCCGAAATTAAATGCATTTATTCCAATTTCGAAATTATTCAGGGGCGTCGATATTCTAGGGTTAATAATGACGATGTTTCCTATTACCTCCGCCTCTGGTTTATAGATTTGTGTATCAACTCAGAAAACTTTAGCCTATAACTAAGTTAAATCAGCAATCCAAGTTTCATCATTGTATGTTAAACATCTTAAGAGATATTTGACTAAATGTGATATATTTTTTAAATTTCAACACCCTGTATCTCGAAAACAAAACAGACATGTTTAAAGGAACTGTTTTTATTAATTTGTAACATAGCGTCCATCATTAAAGTTTGGCAGAGCACTCTATTAACACTTTGTATAGGAAGGAGGGAAATTTAAAAATAATTCAGAATTTTTACTTCTTTTGTTAATTATAAAATTTACAATTATTGCACGAACATCATTCCAAGCAATGTTAATTTATAACCAAAGAGTTTCATTTTCTTGTGGAGAGTTAGGAGTATTTTTTTGCAAGTCAATCGTATGGATAATCCAACAAATACGATGTAATTTTGTCCAGGGGTGTATATTTTTATTTTGAAATAAGTTCTTTTTCGACCCGAAAAAAGAAGTCAAAGTTTCCGTAGATTTTTCGCATATTGCTAATTATTTTGCAATGCGCGCACAATTTGTACATGAAAGTATAACTCTTTGAGAAAATTTTAAGCCCATGATGGGTAACGTAAGTGCATTGCTATATGATTTATTGAACCTTAAAAAAATATTTTTTTTTCGAAAAACTCAATTTTTGCAACAACTATAAAATATATTGCAATTTTACAAAAATGCACTTATTCTACTTGCCAAGGGCTTCATATTCTGAAAGTTTTGTAAAAAAATCTTTTTTCGTTTTAAAGATTTAGAAGTTTTTAAAAAATGCGATTTTATCCGATTTTTTGCAATAACTAATACATTTGTTTATCAATTGACATCGGGTTCCGCTCAAAATTTTTGTTATAAAAAGTTATACAACTCTTGTCTAAAACATTTTTTTTCTAAAATGTTTAATTTACTTAATTATTATTGGACTTAATTATCATATTTTGGTCTTAAGATTAGCAGGCAGTATTTGTGCAAATTTGTTTAACTGTACTCTGTACGTTTTGAAGTACATAGTAAGTACTAATATAAAATTTTTCGTTAAGCCCACGAAAGTGATTCGATCTGTTACATAACAATCACAATGATATCCACATCCTATTGTTTACAGATACGTGGAATTTCTAAGAATATCCACTTATTCGTTAAGCGTATTTTTCACTCAACGTTGCTACCAATCTATAACTTACACCCATTTAAAAAACACCTGTCTGCCTCTGTCAGCTATGATAAGCTGGAAGATAATAAACAGGGTGTCCTGCGGTGACGAGGGAAAAAAAAGAAAATTGTTACCTGGATTTTTATAAGTGGAAATGGGGCTTATAATAAACGAAGAAAAAAATAAATGAATGCGTGAGCAGGTGTGGTGGAGGGTTAATTTGGGGGGGTTGGAAAGTTGTGAAAAATTGTATCATTGAGATTTCTCGCGAAAGTTAATGTCAAACAAAGAAGTATCCAATACAAAAGTTGTAGATGATGCAAAAATCTACAACTTTTGTAGAAGTAACTTTTTAAGATTACTTCAAAATTTCCGAGAAAAATGCGAAAAACCGTTTTTTTCTTATTTTTCGTTTTTTATTTCGCATTTTCGCAAAAATAATTTAATTTTAACTTAGTGAAAGTATACCTTTCTGTGTTTTAAGTAACCGCTAATTTTTTTAGATAAAAAAATCAAGAAGTTGCCGAGATATTCATTTTTTCCGGTCTAAAACACTTTTTTTTTCAAAGAAAAATCAACGAGTTCTGCCGTGATCATTTTTTTCGTTTTGACATATTATACTTTTTGGTGAAATAAAAAAATCTGTAATCACAGTTCAAAAACATGCTCAAGAATGCAAAAAAAATAAAAAACGACTTGCAACAATAAATTTTTCAGTAATTGTTCATAATTTGTTTAAATTAAAAAAAATCTAAAACTGATTGCACCAGTCAATTGTACGGAAAAAAATTCAAAAAACTGTGTCTCATTATTTGACTCGAAACTTTATTTTTGTACAGTATTGGTATAAACATCTAAGTTGAATTACAAATGCACAAATGATAAATAATCTCTGGATGATGAGATTTCAGCAATACAAAGTATTAACTGCAAAGTCTACTGTTGACGCGAAACCCGAAAACAATAACAATACTGTCCAGAAATAAAGTTTTGGGTCAAACAATGACAGTTTTTTTAAATTTTTTTTCGTACAATTGAATGGTGTAATCAGTTTTTGATTTGTTTTAAATTTAAACAAATTATCAACAATTATTAAAATTCATTGTTGCGTCATTTTTTATTTTTTTTGCATTTTTGAGCATGTTTTTGAACTGTGATTACAGATTTTTTATATCACCAAAAAGTATACTTATATCAAAACAAAAAAAATGATCACGGCAGAACTCGTTGATTTTTCTTTGAAAAAAAAAGTGTTTTAGACCGGAAAAAATGAATATCTCGGCAACTTCTTGATTTTTTTATCTAAAAAAAATAGCGGTTATTTANTCACGGCAGAACTCGTTGATTTTTCTTTGAAAAAAAAAGTGTTTTAGACCGGAAAAAATGAATATCTCGGCAACTTCTTGATTTTTTTATCTAAAAAAAATAGCGGTTATTTAAAACACAGAAAGGTACACTTTCACTAAGTTAAAATTAAATTATTTTTGCGAAAATGCGAAATAAAAAACGAGAAATAAGAAAAAAAAACTGTTTTTCGCATTTTTCTCGGAAATTTTGAATTTATCTTAAAAAGTTACTTCTACAAAAGTTGTAGATTTTTGCATCATCTACAACTTTTGTACTGGATACTTTTTTGTTTGACGTTAACTTTCGCGAGAAATCTCAATGATACAATTTTTCACAACTTTTCAACCCCCCCCCCCCCAAAATAACCCTCCGCCACTCCTGATCACGAATTTATTATTTTTTTGTTCATTATAAGCCTCCATTTCCACTTATAAAAATCCAGGTAACAATTTTCTTTTTTTTTCCCTCGTCACCGCAGGACACCCTGTATATTATCTTCCAGCTTATCATAGCTGACAGAGGCAGACAGGTGTTTTTTAAATGGGTGTAAGTNAAAAAATGATATCTCGGAAACTTCTAGATTTTTTTATCTAAAAAAATTTGTGGTTATTTAACACAGAAACGTATACTTTCATCAAGTTTCGTCAAAATTAACTTATTTTGCGGAAATAAGAAATAAAAAACGAAAGATCAGAAAAAACCTTTTTTTTCGCATTTTTCTCGGAAATTTTGAGGTTATCGTAAAAAGTGACCTCTACAAAAATTGTAGATGCATAATGATTACAATTATACAATTTTTCAACCCCCCAAATCAACCCTCCGCCACCCCTGCTCACGCATTTATTTTTTTTTAGTTTATTATAAGCCCTTTTATAATTTCCACTTTTCGAAAGAGAACAAAATTGTTCATCAGGTTGCGCAAAAATATACAGGGTGTTCCATTTAAAAAAATAAGTTAAGATGGTTTACAGTTGACTAAATTCGGTATTAAATTTCTACCACCCTGTACGAAATTAAGTCATTTTGAAATTATAGCAGGGAAGTTTAGAGTTTTAGTTATGTCCCCTATAAATTTTATCGCTCTAACTTTATTATTGTAAAATACATATCTTTTTTAATTAGGCAGTGCTTTTTTTTTGAAAAAAAAAAATAAATATATCAAAAAACGGTTCACTTTGAGAATGGGAAACCTTTATGAAAGTTAACCTAAAAATTTAAGTAGAATCCAAAATTGCAATACTATACAGGGTGTTCCATTTAAAATAACGAAGATGACGTCAACTTCCGGAAGCGTTAGGTAGACGTCATTATTTTAGTTGAGAAAAGCATGCCCGAAAACATTATTGCTCAAATTTTCAACATTAAAATCGAAGTAGTCTCTGAAATATGTCTAATGTCTCGTCACCGTGAGATACCCTGTATGTCATACTTCTATTATTTTTGAGCACATTATACATATAGATACTGTTTTTGGCTAAAGTCTGTAGAATTTTAGTTTACAAATGGTCTACGATTTTATTCCTACCGCTTCGCGCAACTTACCTTTCATCGGAATACTTCTTGTAGAGATAGCTGTAGACTTCAGAGGCGTGCTTTCTCTTGAAGACGGTGTCGCCGAAATTCCCCACCACTGGCAGAGGTATTTCGTAGGTAATACCTCTGTTTTTCCAATAATTGTAAGGCTTGAAGCAGCAGTAATATATCAAGTAGGTCAGGACGAACGTAAACAGTACTACCACCCACATTTTAAGTACACAGATGTCTAATCCTACTTAGAGAAAATATCCACCGTTTTTTCGACTTTCACGCACATGTCGCCCGCGAAAAAATCCGCCGCGCACTGGGTTTTTGTTTACAAAATGGTTGTAACATTTCTTGAATAAATAATGATTGCGATTGGCCTTCGCTGGCGTTGCTGTTAATGATTCACATTTAAAATTTATATTTAGAACACAGTCATTATTAGTTCGAGTGTGGCGCATAAGCACGCCCGTGTACAGGGTGTTCCTTTTCCTCTGGGGATTTGCGACTATTTACGTTGCGATCGATAGTATTTAATTCCCAAAAATGGGACTCGCGAACTAGTTAACTAAGTACATTGCTAGTGGGAAAGTTTCGGAAAAGTGATATACAGGGTGTTTTGAACATAGTTATCGTGGACAAAATAAAACACTGGAATAGAAATTAATTTATTTTTGTACTTATGCAAACACCGTTAAATAACAACTTAATTGACAACTGAGTAAAATAAACTCAAAATAATTTTTGTCATGGTATGTATTTGAAGAAAGTGCAAGTGTAAAAAAAATACGAACAGCATTGTTGCTTGAAAGCTACAAAAAATACCACCCTGGACATATTTAGTATCACAAAACAACTCTCGAAACCACCGAAAACTGTACAGCCACCCCTCATCGATATATCAGTAAGGTTCAACCTATACAACGACGCCAAAATCACTCCCATCGGACCGCTCTTTGTAACAGAACATTAATTACATAATAAAAGTGTATTCTTCCTATACATATATACAGGGTGTTCCAGGTGGGAAGCCTGGAAAATATCGGAAATAGAAAAAAAAATCTGAAAAGAAAATCGATGTCTCGGGTTTTTTTCGTTTTTTTTTAATCCGGTATTTTTCAGGTGGGAAATTTTAATTGGAGTACCCTGTATAATTATTTTTACTGAATACAAATGGTAAAAATATAGCAAGTGTTATGGCATTATGCAAAACAAACTTTTTAATATTGAAAAAAAAATTCGGAATATTTAGTTGATAATAATTTCGATATTTAATAATGACAATGTTAATAGAAGTAGTTTTAAAAATTATGGTATTTTTAGTAATTAATCATCGCAACTTACTGCTATACTAAAATTTGGTGTAGTAGCGTACATTATCTGTAAAAATTCTAAATTAAAAAACAAAAAATAAATCCTTTAATTAAAAAAAAAATAAAATAAAAAAGATCTTACTCTTGGTCCTGTCTCACAAATTTGCATAGGTATTGAAAGACGATTAATTTGAGAATTTTATGAAGAAAAAAACGCCATTCTTTTTCAAAAAGTTCTTTTTGTTCTAAAAATGGAAAAAACTCAAAAAACTAAAAATGTGTTGTTTTTATATTTTTTATTTATAAAACTACATCTCATAACGTGTAAAATGAAAAAAAAAACGTATGATATCTTTAGTTTTTGCCAAGATACAGGTATTTTAAAAATTTTTATCCAAAATATTCAAATGTTCGTAATTTCTTGAGAAGTTGAAATAAAAATTTGAAAAACTTCATGAAAGCAAATCTAAATGGGTACTAAAACTTACAAAAAAAACAAAAAATTAATATTTTAATTCGGAAAAAAAATAGAATAAAATCTCATAAATTTGCATAGGTATTGAAAGACGATTAATTTAAGAATATTATGAAGAAAAACACGTAATTCTTTTTCAAAAATCACTTTTTGATTTAAAAATGGAAAAAGCTAAAAAAACTAAAAATGTATTGTTTTCATATTTTTTATTTGTAAAAGTACATCTCATAACGAGTAAATTGAAAAAAAAAACGTATGATATCTTTAGTTTTTGCCAAGATACAGGTATTTTAAAATTTGTTATCCAAAATATTCAAATGTCCATAATTTCTTGAGAAGTTGAAATAAAAATTTGAAAATGGTCATGAAAGCAAGTCTAAATGGGTACTAAAAAATACCAAAAAAAAAACAAAAAATAAATATTTTAATTCGAAAAAAAAAATAGAATAAAAAAGATCCCAGTCTTGAACCTGTTTCATAAATTTGCATAGGTACTGAAAGACGATTAATTTGAGAATTTTATGAAAAAAAACCGCCATTCTTTTTCAAAAAGCACTTTTTAATTTAAAAATGAAAAAGCTCAAAAAACTAAAAATGTATTGTTTTTATATTTTTTATTTATAAAACTACATCTCAAAACGAGTAAAATCAAAAAAAAAAAACGTATGATACCTTTACTTTTTGCCAAGTTACAGGTATTTTAAAATTTTTTATCCAAAATATTCAATTGTTCATAACTTCTTAAGAAGTTGAAATAGAAATTTGAAAAAATTCATGAAAGCAAATCTAAATGGGTACTAAAAAATATCAAAAAATCAGGAACATTGAACATGTTCGGGTCACGACCTTAGTGATTTGGAATTTTTCAGAATAGGATTGTAAAATAACAAAATATATATTTTTTGTTGTACTACCTATTTATTCTTTGTTGTGAAACTACATACTCAATTCTCTGGAAACAAACTAATCATCAAGATAAATATTGATATATACGAAGATAAATGTACCTACTTGACAGATAAAGACAGCGCAAATATTGATTATTTTTTGTTTTCCACGAGATTCAGTATCTTCTGTGGTCCATTAATTGTGACAATATACTTTTATCTTAATACAGGGTGTAAGAGCGATGCTGCGACAAACTTCTGAGACTGATTGCTGCCACTAAAGTAAACAGAAAAAACAACAAGAGTATATTTTTGTGATAATGATTCCAAATCCAAATTTCTAAGAGGCAAACAGGCTTTGATTGGGAATGGATCATCAAAATTTGTAAAAACTTTTCTTTAGCAGCAGATAATTTACTTTTTGACAGTTGGTCTCTTTTATCGCTACTAATTCTGGCAGAAGCTAGTGATTATTTTTTATTTGTATTTTAGAAAAAATTGTTACTATTTCTTTTGTTTATTTTGATGTTTTGACGAAAAGAATATACACGAAGAATTTGTGGCAAGGTGTATCGCACTTAAGGCTTTTTCCATCCCATTTTTTATTCGGTTCTTTTTGTCGGCATATATATTTATCTCACATAAAATTATGTACAAACAAATTATATAAAAAGTCATATAAAACCTTAAGTATAAACATGTTATTTGCGTTGTAATGAGATTAAACATCTGAGTTATGTGCTAGTATATTATCTCTGTGGTGAAGAGAGCAGCAAGCAATCCTAAAAGTATGCCAAGAGACGCTACTGCCGTCGAGCCTTTATCTTGGTAATTACAGAGATCTGTAATACAAGAGCAGCAACTTCTGAATCCTACGAAGTTGCTATAAAGTAAACAGCTGTTTATTTCCGCACAATCTCTTGTAATTGTATCTGAAAATTTTAATATGAAGTTTCAGTTTTAGAAATTTTTATTTGTTTGTTTCATAAATGATTATAAGCCACGTGGACTTTTTGTTTTCGTAAATCATCTATACCTAGAAGTTGAAACACTTAAATACAGGGTGTTAATGAAATACTCAAGCTAAACGCTAATGGCGGATTTTATGTCACAAATCAATAAAAAAGTTCTTATAACATTGTGGAAATGCCTCAATTTCGAGATACAGGGTGTTGAAATATAAAACATTTATTTAAATGTCTCTGAAGGGGTAATTTTTTAAAATCGATTTTAGGATAAATGATTTAAAACAGTATTTTATTATGTGACGACTATAGGAAAAAAGTTTTAGGTGGGGGAAAATCGGGAACTTTTTTGGTTGATTTTGTATTGTTTTCCTTTCAATGCTAATTCACAGAAATTTACTGATGCGTAAAACTAGTCCCCACTTACTGTTTATTATCAATATCATGCAGTACGGGTACTTGGAAGGGCAACTGAACGGATACGACCTGTTTCTGACGTCTACACTGCAGGAAGAGCCATGTCCAGTTCAGGAGCTACAAGAGAAACATTTCCGAGCGGTCGCTAAAAAGATAAATACGTGTTTTATCAATGGTTAACAGCATAGTACATGTTTGTTATTTTTTTAGTTCAAATAGGAATTTATCTTACCTGTGTGGACGTTCAAACTTAAAAAATAAATAAGGGACACAGCACAGAATAACAGAATTTTGACACGTATTCGCAGACTTATCGGAAATTAGGACATGTGGAAAGATTATAACATCAATATACCTAGCATGTATTTTGAGTTTTTTATCTGATTTCTGATAAAGATTTATTCATAATGAATTTGAGATCAATCTTCTGAATATGGCGAAAGATAAGGATTATTTACAAGTACTTTCAACGTCGTCATATAAGTTAAATGTAGGGTGGAAATTTACTTTAAATTTCGCAATTTGTTGGATATCTATAACGAATACAAAATCGTATTACAAAAGTATGATTCATACTGGTGAGCAATGGATATTTTAGGTTTCCAGGTTCTATGAATCTTTCTGATGGGGTTTCCTCTGTATCTCGGTTAATAAACAAGTTGCAGGCCAACTGAGAATGAGGTGTTCCGGAAATAAATGCAAAAACCCCAAAATTGAGTGACGCCACCCTATACTATGGTTGTCGTGCGTTGTCTTTGTTTATTCCCATAGTCCCCATTAGGTCATCTCGTGCCGTGATGCATGGCGTGTAGTGCTGGACAAGGGTCTGTTAATCGGGTTATTTTGGTGAAAATTATGTTTAAATGCAGTGGTTTGATTACAATAATTAAAAACAATAATATATTGAGTCTCGATTAACATTTAGTTAAATAAAGGGATAGTTAAATTGTTACCTATACTTACTTACGTATTTGTAACGAGCAATATAGGTTATGGTAATCTATTCGTCCGATCAGTTAACCAATTTAATCGAGACATACATATTACAAAATTGTATAAAAATAACTATACAATAACATGTTAGTATATTGCCAGTTTTCTTGCAGTAAACAGAAATGTAAGTAGTCCTAATGGTAGGCTAATAGAAGGCGCTACCAGTACCAACGAACCATTATTGCAGAGGTCTGTTACGCACGTAGTGCAGCTTCTAAATCCAGTAGAGTTTCTATAAAGTTGGCAGACGTTGCTTACCGCACAATTTCTTGATATGGTATCTGAAAATTTTCATAATGCCTTTAAAAACATTTTCCATTAAAAAGAAAATCATAAATTTGGTTTGCCACATAATTTGAGAACAATCTGTACAAGCTCAATATAACCGTAAAAAACTTCTAATTGATAGTTGCTACATTTTCGTTTAACATTTTTTTTTCTAAATTTAAAAAAGGTGCGTTTTCATTTATAATCAATAACCCTATATCGTTTTTAAAAAATAAGTGATAAAAACATTAAAAAGGAATATTTACTTACTATTTATTCTGAGCGTCATGCAAGCATTGTACCCAGTGGTACAGTTTCTGCTAGTAATTGTTTTATTGTTGACTTTTACCTCGCAGTTTTGCTTTTGTCCAGTAAACGAATTACAATAGTAGCATCTTAAAGCAGATACTGAAAAATTAAAAATTATATTCCATGTTTTGTCAGAGAAATAGGAAACGATTTATTATTTGATTTATTTTCCTAAATTGTATGTATTAAAAATATCTTACCTGAGTTGATGTTTAAATTTAATAAATAAAGGAAGAGTACAGCACAGAGCAAAACCTTCATTTTGATTCATTCAGGTACAAAATGGTACTAAAAAGGACAGCTCAGCAATATATGTACGTTACTAAAATCCTTTATCTGATTTCTGTTAAAGATTCTATTTGAACTGTACTCATTTAAATCCTTTAATTAGTTAGAGGGAACGACTTTGTAGTATCAAATAAGATAAGCGTTTGTTCATGTACAACAACACTATTATTTGCTCCAATATTATCGATATGGGGATATTTATTCAACAGTATGTCACAATTTGTTCAATATGTGTATCTATGGCGAACACGAAAAAGCAAGATAGATAAATATGCAGGGTATATTTGCTTATATAAAATGGTAAAACTCTGGGTTACCAAACTAGCAGAATGTAAAATTTTCCCAAAAATCTTGACATGAACAAAAATCTCCTCAGTTCCCTTGTAAATCACGTTATTTTAACCGCCTCGCATGGAGGGGGAACTGTAGTACATTGTAGACAAGTAAATTATACAAATTACAAGTTTTCTTATGAAATTATTTGCATAATAATGGGTAACAAAATACCTATTATTATTATTATTTCAGTATATATGTTAGAAAATAATATGGACATCGACGCCATTACAAATTTAATATAGAAAAACATCTCGAAAAATATTTCCATTTCTGGAAAACTAGATAACAATTAAAAGAAGGAGTTTATATACATGTATATAAGTAATTTTAATCGTTCGTTAATATATGATCATCTTTAAACTAAAATATAACACCATAAGCAGTGCTAGCGGTAAAGAGAACGAGGATATCGTGATGGAATTATTGTAACTTTGATCATTACACAGATCGGGTACACAAGTGGAACAGCTCAGGAATCCATGCTGATGTTGCAACACGTGGCATGCGTTGATTTGGGCGCATCCTCTTGTTATATTACCTAGAACAATAATATATTAGTTTGGTCAGTAAATTTCATTGACAATATGTATAAAAAGTTTGGTGACATAACGAACTAAGAAGAAGGTTGCATCTTGGTTCTGCTCTTCCCAAGGTCCTTAGTAGTTATTATTTAATTCTTGAAATGCTTACCTTGCATTACCAGTGTCATGCATGACGGGTATCCAGGTTGGCAAAATGTGGCTTGTATTGTGTTGGTATTAACGTTTCTCTGGCAGTCACTTCTTTGTCCTGTTACCGCTGAGCATGAATAGCATCTCAAAGCATCTCCTGCAAAACAATGACCAGATCATGAAGACAAAATTATTTTTGGAGGAAGAATGGTACCAAATCTGAACATACAAAAATAAGATAATAAGGATAGTAATGGTTGCGACATATTAAATAAATTAAAAGATTCAGTTGAAAATTCAAATGTAGATAAAGCTATCAGGACATAAAAATAGATTATACATGCAACCAAACAGATTTTATCTGTTCATGTAAAATTTAGGATATACAAGGTGTTAACGAAATAAGTACACAAAATTGGAGATTATGTGAAACATGTCGAAATATGATGAAACCTTAGTAATATTTTTGTCAGTGGCGGCCCTTAAGGGAGATACAGGGGTAGGGTAACTCAGGAAACAGTTTTTATTTCATAACTTCAAAACGGTTTAATATTAAATCACGAAATTTTGGGGCTGTATTACTATTTATATGCTTAATAATAGGTATAATATACATATCAAAAATTGTTGCAGAAAATAGAAAAAAATGCGTACAAAAAATATTGTAAAATTTGCACCGTGGTCCCGCATTTTCTTACTCCCCTGTAGCAAATTTTGATTTGTATATTATGCCGATTATTAAACATATAAATAGTAATACAACCCCAAATTTGGGGATTTAATATTAAACCGTTTTGAAGTTATGAAATAAAAACTGTTTCCTGAGTTACCTTTTCAAGGGGCTGTATCTCCCTTAGGGGCCGCCACTGACAAAAACATCATATTTCGACATGTTTTACATACCCTCCAATTTTGAGTAGTTATTTCGTTAACACCTTGTATAAATTCGGGTCAGATTGTCCAACTTTTAAACATTTAAATTTGTTACCTGAATTGATGGCTATATTAAAGAAACAGATTATAATCGCACAAACACACAGAACACTTCTCATCTTAGTTGAAGCGTTTTTATGGGAAAAATGAAGCTGTCTTATTTCTTCCAAATGAAATACTGATTGTAAAAGTAAGTTTTATATTACTAGGTAGATAATAGTTAAGACAGAAGGGTGTAAATCATTAAATATCATGTCAAGTTAAATTTTTGTTTATTACCATCATTAAAAATTAAAGAAATTTTTTCCCCAAACGTTACCTAGTGTTATGGTTTTCTAATATATGTACATCTACTTTTTCAATATACATCATCTAAGTATTTCAAGTTAAATCATTTTCGGTATTAAGTTGATAACAGAGAAAAAATCCTTTTTTATTTTCTTTATTTATTTTAATAAAACTACATCATTAGGTACATATCCTATATTGTCAAATGTAATAAAAAACAATGCTATTGATCATAATTTTAAATATTGAGGATAAAAACATTATAAATTTTCGTCTTCAATTTTATCGACACGTAAATTACAGTTATTGTTCCAAAAATTGGTGATTCACTTAATAAGATAACGATACCAGGCAAAACAGAAATTATCTATTATTAGAACATTGTACTACAGGTTTCCAATATTAAGTTATTCTAACGATAAAATTATCTATGACAGACATGTTCTGTTGGGTTTCAACAAAATTGCTTGTTCAAATACATAATTCCAAAAAAAATTCAAGAACGCCTCCTTCGTCGTTGAATTCATACAAGAAAATGTCTAGAAAAACTAAGAAATTCATATTAAAAATTTCCCACAAAGCAACACCAACACTGTTGTGGTAAGTCCTTGGAACTGCGCTGGTGCAGAATTACATAAATCCTTGTCTGCGCAAGTCTCACACTCCAGCAACATGTTCATGTCGTTGCCGTTGGTAGCACTGAGGAACGAACAGACATCGTGGTGCTTGCAGTCCCTGTGCACCCACTTGTTGCCGCTATCTGCAAAACACATTGTATTAATAAGTGCTTCAAAATGTACTATGTAATAAAAAAAATGATTTTGTGGGAAGATGTGGAGAGTAGATTTCACGAACTGCTCGCCAACAGTCTTTAGGAATCAATTTTTGTTTTCCAAATAACTCTAAAGTGTCTCGTATGGTTTTATTGAAATTTGGTGCCTGTATTCTTTCTTTGTCCGATTGGTATTTGTTTTCACGTTCATGACAATCTTTGACCTGCTTATTATAATTTTTAGTTGTCTGATTTTTCAAAGTTCGGCACCACATAAAAAACTCCCAATAGACATTTGTCGTTCAAATTTGGTATATGGGTATTTTAATGGGTGTTGAACAGCCTGGTAATATTATATTTTTAATTAAAAATATGCCTAATACTAAATTCTAGAAAAACGACCCTTTTAAAAAATCGTAGTAGGCCAGGTTTTTGTGACATCAATAGAATGATTAGTAGAATATAACTTCCTTTCAGAGTACTATTTGTGAAAAAAATTGGCTTTTGGAAAGTCCATAGCCTTCTTACATTTCCAGACGTGTTAACCTAAAAAAAGGGACACACTGTATATATTTTAAATGGAATGTTATTTTCTTTATACTGACGCACAATATTACAATATTTTTCTTTTCGTCACAGTGTAGATGAGTGGTGACGTATGGATTTGTTTTTAAATTTGATTGTATACAATTTTTTGCACGTTTTGGTTGATTTTTTTTTAATTTTCTTTTCCAACGATAGAAATTTGTATGCCTTTGCGTAACGAAATTTTTGAGTAAAAATGAAAAAACTTTCAGCCTTTGACTTTAGTTTACGGTGCTCGTTTTCTAAATCATATCAAATGGAAGGCGCGGGAAAAACAATTTTGCATACTAGACCAGGACGGATTTGTACTTCTTCGATGTAAGAGGGGGCAAGCTAATTTTTGCTGGAATACCTTCAGTGCAACTCATATATTAAAAGTGTAGATCCCTAGATCTGGGCGAGGCCCGGAACATTTTCAAAATTGCAAAAATGTTTAAAAAATTTAAAAAACACCTATTCCATCTGAGCTTTTTGCTTATATCTTGGAACCTATGCATTTTGGAAGAATATGGAAGAGGAAAAAAGTTTTAGATTTGAATTTTACACAGTATACTGTAAATTAAAAACGTTTAAATTTATTACCGATGTTGCAAAATAATAATTGATGAAAAAACGGCAAAATAATCAAGTTTTTCGGATAATTTTTTAAAAATATTTTAATTGCTACGAGGGCATTCTAATTCTTGTAAAAAAAAAGTTTAGAGTATAATAAAACAACACACCAAATTTCATTAAACTCGGTTTTATAGTTTTCGCAAAATAATTTTTTGAAAAGAATTTAAAAAAAAATTTCGAATTTTCGAAATGTTCCACAATTTCAAATAAAGCATCTAGATACTTTAAAAATTTTTGACATAGAAAAGACCGCTAAACCTTTCAAATAGTTTTTGAAAAATTGAAATCGAGTGATTAGGACGGCTACAGTAAATTTTTAAAGTTACCACTCTTTTTTTTTAATTTGTGTAAATAAAAATTATTTAAATAATTGTAATAATTATAACTAAATACATTCATATTCAGAACGTTGAAATATATACGTAAACAATTTTTTCATTGAAAAAATGCAATAGCATAGGATAAAATATACAGTATATTTAATGCATAAATAATAAACTGTGTTTATAACAAAATATGTGCAAATTAGACAGTTGACATTACGATATTCGAATTTCTTGGCTCGCGAGACATTGGATTAAAAAACAGATCGAAATAGGTCCATTAGAAGCCAAGATAATGCAATTTTTTTTCGTATCTTCGCATTTTGAACCTTCGAATTCAGTCTCAGAGCGAAAACCCCCTCCCCCACTTTTCGTGTTTTGAGTCACTTTTCGCGCGTGCGAGCGACAGCTTTTCCGCAGATTTATCTATGTTGCCGATAACTTATGGATATAAAAATTTTTTCAGTTTAGAACTAGGAAAAACGACGCAAATCAAAATCAAAGTTTATTACTAAAGTGTTAATAATTTAACGGTAAATGCCGATAAACTTTGACAGCTTATATCTCGAGAACCAGTAAACGGAATTTAACTTTTTTTTAAAAAGAAAAAGCGTCTTTCCGAGTACTTTAAAATTATAAATTTTGGAAAAAACTAAATTGCAAATTGATAAATAATAATTGTTTAAAAATAAAAAAGAGTGTTAACTTTAAAAATTTACTGTGGCTGTCCTAATCAACCGATTTCAATTTTTCAAAAACTATTTGAAAGGTTGTACGGTCTTTTCTATGTTAAAAAATATTATTATTAAGTATCTGGGGCTGTGCAATATTTTGAAAATTTGAAAATTTTTTTTCAAAATATTTTGCGAAAACTAGAACTGATTTTAATTAAATTTGGTGTGTTGTTTTACTATACTCTAAAGTTTTTTTTTACCAAAATTAGAATGCCATTGGAGCAATAAATATTTTAAAATAATTATCCAATAAACTTATTTTGCCTTTTTTCATCAATTATTGCTATTTTGCAACATCGGTAATAAATTTAAACATTTTTAACTTGCAGTATATTGTGCAAAATTCAATTCTAAAACTTTTTTCCTTTTCAGTATTCTTCCAAAATACATGGATTCCAAGATATAAGCAAAAAATTCAGATAAAACAGGTATTTTTAAAATTTTATATAAACATCTACACTTATTATGTGAGTTGTCTCCAGAACAACTTCCAGTATTCCAGCAAAAAATAACTTGCCCCTCTTACATCCAAGAACTGGGATAATTCAACAGATCCGCTCTGGTCTAGTATGTAAAATTGTTTTTTCAGCTTATTCTATTTGATATGATTTAGAAAGCGAGCACCGTAAACCAAAGTCAAAGGCTGAAAGTTTTCTCAATTTTTCTCAAAAATTTCATTATACAAAGGCATACAATTTCATATGGTTGGAAAGAGAATAAAAAAATTTATCAAAACATACAAAAAAAATCTTATACAATCCAATGTACAAAAAATATCGATGACGTCACCACTTATCTAGAGAGTGACGAAAAAAAAAATTATGCGACAGTATGAAGAAATTAACATCCCATTTAGAAATGTACAGGGTGTTAAAAAAAGAGTGTAAAATATTTAAGGAGGTAATAGTATGAACCAAAATAAGCAGAAAAGTCTCAATAAACATGGGTCCGCAAAGTAACGGTTGCGGAGATATGGAATGTTTTATGTTTTTTAGCCCCTTTTTTTATTTTGCAAAAACGTTGTGTATTTTCTTATAATAGTTGGTTGATGTTTAGTGAAATAAACAGTACGTATTTGACAGTTGTTCTCAGTGCACAAGTTTTCTTTCGCTATGGCTGGTTACTCTAACGCAGAATTAACAGACATGCATTTCATGTATGGTCGTGCTAATGGGAACGCCACCGAAGCGCGACGTCTTTATGTTGACGCTTATCCAAATCGCCAGATTCCTTCACAACGCATGTTTGGAAGAATTCACCAAAGATTGCGTGATACCGGTTCCTTGAGCAAACAGTGCCATTTATCCGGAAGACCAAGGTCGGTATCCACTCCTAGAGCAGAAGAAGAAATTCTAGCACTGGTAGAGCAGAATCCAGGTACGAGTGTGCGGAGAATATCAGCCGAGGTAGGAATTAGTGGTCCTCTTGTTTGGAGAATCCTTCACGAGCAACTGCTTTATCCATACCATGTGCAACGAGTACAGGCCTTAAATCCAATAAATGATCATCAAGCACGTTTGGTTTTTTGCCGCTGGTTTCTACGTCATGATGCTGAAGACCCTCGTTTTCTTGCAAACATTCTTTTTACTGATGAGGCCGGGTTCACAAGAAATGGAGTGTTTAATTTTCACAATACGCATATTTGGGCCGACGAAAATCCTCATGCTCTAATAGAATCTGGACATCAGGCACGTTTTTCATTAAACATTTGGATGGGTATTGTAGGTGACAGGTTTCTAGGTCCTGTTGTTTTACCAAACCGATTAACAGGCGCTGCTTACCTCAACTTTCTGCAGAACACACTGTATGAGTTTTTGGAAGACATTCCTTTGAATCAGAGGCAACAAATGTGGTTCCAGCATGATGGTGCTCCAGCTCATTTTTCCATGGCCGTTAGAGAGCATTTACACCAAACTTTTCCACATAGATGGGTAGGAAGGGCCGGACCTGTTTTATGGCCTCCAAGATCGCCTGATCTGAACCCTCTAGATTTCTTTGTTTGGGGATATTTGAAGACATTAGTGTATGGTACTCCTGTAAATAGCCTGGAAGAGCTGCAGCTACGGATTAATCAAAAGTGTCAAGAAATCCAAACCAAGGAGGGTGTTTTCGAAAGAGTTCGAATATCGTTGAGACGAAGATGTCGTGCCTGCTTGGAAATGGACGGAGAGCACTTTGAACATCTTCTGTAACTTTGTTTTTTGTTTGTTAAAAGCTTCCTTTGTCGGTTTATTCGTAATAAAATAAAATGTTTGAAAAACGAATAGTGGTCCATATCTCCGCAACCGTTACTTTGCGGACCCATGTTTATTAAGACATTTCTGCTTATTTTGGTTCATACTATTACCTCCTGAAATATTTTATACTCTATTTTTAACACCCTGTATATACACTTTAAAGGGTGTCCAAAAATACGTAACAGAGAGCTCGGGGCATTTATAACCAGAGTGTATACTGTTTGATACTCACAAAATACTCTCCATTTTTTAATACAAACGAGATACTTCTCAACCTAGAATCAAGAATTACTATTTGGAACCACCTGGCCATAGCCGTGTTTGTACTTACAATCCACTACATATTTTGCACAGACTGCATCGGGAAAATGGCACGTGGAGACCTTATGTCGCTCCCAGTCAGCATAGTGGAACCACTCGCAATCGTTGTAGTCGTTTGGCCCTACTTGAGCACTGCAGGAGTAACATTTTAGGGACGTACCTGCAATTACACGACAATCAAGTTCGCTTTGATAGAACAACCAGGACATTTAAAATTCACAGAAGTATGAAGCGTGCTTTACGTTGCATATTGCTGACAATTCTTCATATCACACCTTTTAGGAATAAAATTTATCTAAAACGATGGCGAAATTCTTACTTACATGCTTGAAACAAGGAAATTAGCAGTAGAAAAAGGCAAACCGTTCTTCTGCACATACTGACTGACGTTTGACGATACGGTTTTAAAAAATTGCAACAACTTTGCCTCAAGGTTTATAAATAAACCATAAACCCGACTAGAGGAAATTTACCTAAGGCCTTTTAATTGGGTGAATATATTCAATGTCAGGCAAACAAACTCTGTATTGTAAATTAAATAATGTTTGAGTTTGTAAATATTTGCGGATTTTGCGGATATATTGACTGTACTGTTTCGGAATATTTGAAAACAAATAGGCAGCGGGTAAGCATAAATATTTCAGTAACTGATGACAAAAATAGTTATTTTGACGCGCTACACGCTTCCAAATTTTTTAAATTTATTTCACGGCTAACTTAAAATACTCATATTTATGTAGACCAGTTTGAGTTTTATTTATTTCATAATAAATCATCGCTGTTTATTTGTTTCATTTGTAAGCTTGTGTGTGTGTTCATTATTATTATACAGGGTGTCCTGCATAAGAACCGACACAGGGCAGGTGCATGTAGGGGTGTCCAAAATATTGTAATTTAACCAAACTTACCTATATACAAAGTTGCACCCCGAGGAGTTATTAGCCCCCGAAATGGGGCCCTAAATTTCGAAAAAAATGAATATCTCTGCAACACTTTATCGCAGAAGAACCAAATTTGGTACATGATTTAGGTTTATTACTGGTCTTGTTTCACTATGATTTAAAATTAATTGAAGCACTACAGGGTGTTCAGTGGGGATGACTCACCTCTAAAATTGTACAGAACTTTTTTTTCATTGACTGAATTGAAAAATAGTATCTTAATATTAATTCACAGCAGAATTTAATTTTAATTTTTTTTTACTCTTGTTAAATTTTAAAGAACTTTATGGTTTTCAAGAAAAACCGTATTAACTGACACAAGATTTTAACAGTGTTCATTAAAAAATAATCAAAAAGTCAGTAAAAAAAACATTTTCGTTAATTATATGCTAAAAACTATGTTTTTCATCCTTTGCACAATGCAATCCAACTGAGGTATTGACGAAACAAGTAAAAAAGCATTTTTTGGGAGAATTAAATAAAACAACAAAGATTTTAAATTATCTTAAGTATATATATTTTTATTTTAGTTCAAATTATGGCAGTGAAATATACGATATAATACAAATGTAGGTACTTAATATGAAAATGTTTAAGAAAATCAATTTTTATAAATAAAATAATGTTCTCAAAATATGTTGTAATATACTCAAAAATCTAGAGCAAGAATTTTTGCGATACACCCCCATATTTAAAATACACAGGGTGACCAGATTACCCACGCCATAGTGATAAAACTCATCAAAATATGAAAAAATAAAAATAGTGAAGAGATATTCAAATAAATATTATTTTTTCTTTTCGTGTCCACCTAGTGCGCGTAAGTCCCAATATCTAGGTTAATAAAAGATATAGCTTAATTTTTTTTCTACAGAGTTGCCTACTTTCCCGAGCTGCACAAAATGAAATTATATTTGCATATACAGGGTGTTCAGTTTTTCCTGGGCAGGTACCAACTTAATTTTTTTAAATGGAAACCTATACTTTTTATGGCACCATCGAATTCTACGTGAAAAATTAACGGGACTTTGTGTTGTGATCCCTATTAAAATATTGATAGTTTTCGAGATAATCGACTTTTCATATTTTTCTTCTTATGTTTCGTGACTTCTAGTAGTTGACATAATTATGATTGTATGACAGCTAGAAATTATTATTATTTTTTTCAAGAACTGTAGAGTGAAGATGGCTCTTTCAAAAAACGTATAGAGCAAGAATTTTTGTGACATGGGTCTCAAGGAAAATTTTATGGGTAACTATCTTTTTCAATTTTCAAAAATTGAAAAACAATGAAACTTAAATTTAGTAAGTCGCAGTAAAACTTCTGATTTTTTTAAGGAAATTTCATTGCTAATTTCTTAACTTGCCCATTGAAAATTTCCTGTAAAAAATTATCAGTATCAGTTTATTCATCTGGGAATAAAATAACAATGCAAATATAAACAGGAAGCTAGTCACCATTTCGGGGTCAAAAATATCCTATTAGTTAAAATTGTCAGTAGTCAGTAGTGTGTTTATTTTCGAGACATTTAAAAAAATGATAAACTAATAGTTCACTGAGGGAAATATAATTTAACTATAAGTATAATTTAAATAGCCCTAACAAATATCTGCTTTAAATAGGCCCCAGCAAAGTTGTGCTGCTGTTATAATATATAATATTTTGCTAAAGGAGGAGCATTTTGCAGTAGCTATAATACAATTTTTACACTAGGATGGCGACTTCTATGACAATGCCAGCAAACATGTTTTTTTACTTCAAGAAAGTGACTTTTTAGATTCTAATAAGTGGGTTTTTTGCTTTAATTTTGTCTTTAAACTGTCTCTTGATATTTAAAAAGTTACAACTAAAAAACAAGATGTTAATAATTGGCCACTCTCACTCAAGCCAAAGTTAACAAATTTAATGTATTACAAAAGAAAAAAAAAGTAAAAAAAGGATTACAAATCGTTATATAAAATTTTAAAGACATATGGTTTTTCAATTACTACTTTTTTCTTTTATAAAAGTAAGAGCCAACTTAGAAAAGCTAAAACTAAAGCTACAACTAATGGAACTGCATTGATCTTATCTGCTGAATTACAGAGATCTGTACTACACGTCGTGCAAGTATGTTGCCCCGGCAGGATCTCATTCTTCATCCTCAATTCATTGAAGATATCTTCGCAGGTGGCTCCGTATCGCAGGGCTTGGCAACCTCGGGTGATGTGGTTGATAGTCGGGGTACCAGGAATAACGCCTGCAAGAGTAGAAACTAAAAATTCTGCTTTCAGTTTATGGAATAGATTGAGGAAAATAAGTATAGCAGCTGTCCAGGAAGCGTCTCAATTGGATATTTTGATTCGTTATAACCTCTTATTGAAAGATAATATACAGGATAGGCCATTAGTGTGAGAAAGTAAAATAACTCCCTTGTTATTCGTAATACAGAAAAAAAGTTTATATAAAAGTTGTACAGAATCATAAAACCAGAAGGACACATTAATTTGAAACATATAAGGCGATGAGTAAAAACGGGACAAATATTACATTTTTTAAATGGAACACCTTGTATATTTATGGATTTCCGAGAAAATTTTATATATGGCAATATAAACATTTTATCATTTTAGTGCGAAGTTGCTAAGTTATGTAAAAAATTCTTTGAATTTTGAAAAAACATGACCTCGAAGAAGTTGTATTAACTTTCAACTACTAACGCTTGGAATAAAAATATTTGACAAGAGTTATATGCTAATGTTAGGCAAAGACTCCTTTCTTAGCTCATCTCGATATTTTATACAGGGCATTTATATAAACTCTGTCTAATTATTTTGTTTCAAGTGTTAGTAGCTGAAAGTTAATACAACTTCTTCGAGGTCATTTTTCAAAATTCAAAGAATTTTTTACATAATTTGGCAACTTCGCACTAAAACGATAAAATGTTTATATTGCTATATATAGAATTTTCTCGGAAATCCATAAATATACAGGGTGTTCTATTTAAAAAATGTAATATTTGGCGTGTTCCGTTTTTACTCATTGCCCTGTATTGATTCTGTACAACTTTTATATAAACTTTTTTTCTGTATTATGAATAACAAGGGAGTTATTTTACTTTCTCATACTAATGGCCCACCCTGTATAAAAGTAAAAAAGTAGATCTTTAGTTTTATGTTTATATAAACATAAAGTGATAAGAAATAAACACTCAAGATATTATCAATCCAATAGTTTGAATGTCAATAATTTAGAGTGCTTCGGTGTTCTATTTTGGGTCCATTTTGATTGTAACTGATACATATATAAATAGTCTGTTTTGTTTTTCGTCACTTGAATTTATTTACAGAGAGCAACTTAAACCAACGCATCATTTAGAAAAAGGTTTACAGAAATGGTTTGTCGTCATATTTACATTCTCGCTTACCATTGACTGTCCCTTATTTTCGTCTACCTTCAACTTACTTTGGTAGTGATAGGCGGCACATACAGACGGACCTATACAGTGCACTCTTTTTAACTGGGACTCGTCCCCGTGAAGACAGGCACTTATTTCTCCAGGTCCTAAGCGAGCAACGCATTCGTAGCAACGGATGCAATAGCCTAAAAAAGAACAATGATTAATATTTTCAAATTTTGATGACGTATCGTTAAGTAGCAAATTTACATAGCTCAACCGTTGATTATTCTCGGAATCCTAGAAAAAGTACATGAACGATACTAGCTCAGCCGCAGAGTTGTAGTCTAGATGTTGTTTTGTATAACATCATCAGTAAGAAAATTTTTATTAAAAAAACCGTAGTATAGATAAGAAGATTAATTTAAGTTCACTTTAATCCAAAAATGGTATAATTAATTACTTCTGAAGAGCACTGAGATAATGTAACTAACTCGAATTTGGTGCACTTTATACTGCAGAGCAATAAATATTATCTCCAAATTCGACGAGTGATGGAATCCCAGAATTTCCACGGTACTGGATATTTTGTATTACACCCTGTATGTTTTGCATACGAAAAATTTTGACAACTGTGTTTAAACGAACTTTTTTGTTTCTTTAAGAAGACGAAAAGACTGTTTATAGATATCTTTATCAATATTTACCTACTTAACCCGTATGATCATTGTGTGTTTGGGACATCTATATATACAGGGTGGCCAAATGAAAACGAAACAGAGCCATTTTCAGGAACTGCGTCAAGATTGTAGAAAAACCCTCAGACCCGTCGATTTTAGATTAAAGGGCTGGTATTTTCGACTCCGCCACTTTCACCCCCAAGCAAGGGTAAGCATCACCCCAAAATATTGAAATGGCATTGGGGGTTGAGTCATATTTCTTTCGAAAGTTCTTACAATTCTCTTTATAACAGACTTTAAATTTTATAATTCCGCCCTATACTTATTAAGAATTTTGATTTTAAAGTTGAAACTTATGTACAAACAATTAGTAACGGTAAAAATTGCAGTCATTCGAGTTAAGTACGCCAATGGTTTAAATTTAGTATTTCTTGAGTTACATTGGTTTTTGGCGATTTGTTATCACTTTCGTAAAAAAAACACAATTGTAAAAAACAGAAATGAATGCTATACACACACAATGAACGTAAAATTAGTGGATTCCAAATTATTTTCTAGTATTATTTGGAAGCGTTGGTTGGTAGTTTATTTAATTGTGTTTTTGAAAATTAAACATTATGGTTTATTCCATTGCGGAAAGGGTAGATATCATTTCGCTTTACTTTATGAACAATAAATGTGATCGACATGTGAGGAGGAAGGATGTTCTAGACTTAATAAAAAAATTTCAAGAGACGGGGAACGTAGCCAATAAAAAATGAGAAATTGAAAAACCTATAGTTAATGAAGCTAGTGAAGTTGCAGTTTTGGGACAAGTTCATCTTGATCCTACATTAAGTACGAGGCAGCTGGCATCTGTGTCTGGGATCAATCGAACTACATACAAACCATTTTGAAGAAGAATAAATTCCATCCATACAAAATGCATTTAGTCCAGGAACTTCATGAGGATGATTATGATCGCCGTTTGCAATTTTGGGAAATAATGAGTGAGCGAGCAAGGAACGATCCACAGTTACTTTTTAACATCTGTCGAATGCAGTATTTTCTTGAACGGGACGGTAAATCGTCACAATTGACGCTATTCGTCCGATTCAAACCCAAGAGTTTTTCACGAGGTGCATACACAGCAACCGGAAAAAATAAATGTATGGGCTGGAATTTTCGGTGATCGGCTGGTGGGTCCTTTTTTTTCTACGTGGTAATTTGACTGGCCAAATGTATTTGCCATTCTTGGAAGACGCTATTGACCCTGCCTTGACTGATATTATTGAAAATGTTCTAGAGTATGAAGAAGATCATTTGATTTTTCAACAGGACGGTGCTCTCCGCATTATGCGTTAATTGTCCGTCAGTATTTGGACCAACGTTTTCTACGGAATTGGATTGGGAGAAGAGGCAGCATTGAGTGGCCTCCATGATCACCGGATTTATCGCCCCTTGATTTCTTTTTGTGGGGATACCTAAAAAGTAAAATCTATAAAACACAGCCAGCGTCGCTGGAAGATTTCCTTCAAAAAATCGTTGACGAATGCCGTCGAATCACTTCGGAATTGCTTCGGAATGTGCGCGAACGTTTCGAACAAAATCTTTATTCTTGTATGGAAGCGGGCGGTCATCAGTTTGAGCATTTAATCAACTAGGTAGTAAGTAAGCAACTAAACATAATTTAAATTTTAAAATGTATGTATATTTTTTTCAAAGTATTGGGCGGAATTATAAAATTTAAAGTCTGTTGTAAAGAGAATTGTAAGAGCTTTCAAAAGAAATATTACTCAACCCCCAATGCCATTTAAATATTTTGGGGTGATGCTTACCCTTGCTTGGGGGTGAAAGTGGCGGAGTCAAAAATACCAGCAAGGAATGTCCCCCTATAATCTAAAATCGACGGGTCTGAGCGTTTTTCTACAATCTTGACGCACTTCTTGAAAATGACTCTGTTTCGTTTTCATTTGACCACCCTGTATATATAATTTAAATATCACTAAAATTCATAAGATAGGAACACTTATGTCTACTGTATGTGGCTAAAATTCGTTAATTACTTTTTAATGTTCCACATAATATGTTACCTCTATAACCGTTAATCATAATTGATATTTTATTGCTACTAATAAAAAAGATAATACCAAGTTGAAGTAAGTTACATCTGCTAAAATTTAAAACGTTGCTAATCCTTTGAAAGCTATAAATTGATCGAGATCATCATTATCAATTAACTCTCTTGAGTATATACACGGTAGTTGAATTATTATAAACAAAAAATAAAATATCTTGGTACTTAGCTTCATAAAACCGAATAATTTTCCATCCATCATATACACTTTGTAAATATGCACCATTAGGTTGATATACAGAAAAGTTTATAACCCTTCGCCCAAAAACCTACCGTTTTCGAAGTATCTGCCTTTGAAATTAAAATATACAGGGCGCTTCATATTAACTGTGATACTCTTTATACTAAATTATAGTCTACTAACTTACCATTCTGGAAAATCCCGAAGAGGAACAACACAACTGAAAGTCCAAAACTAAAGGCCATCTTGTAACAATTTACTCTTTCAGAAAGTACTATACAGTGTGTTCTTTTCCACCAGAGTCATTTAATATACAGACGCTATCCGCCTTTTTAATAATTGTACATCAAACTAGAATTTTCGAAAAAAAAATCTCTATCGAACTAAATCAGCCTTCAGCTGAACAACTACTACCAATACCGAAAACTTTATGGACAAACAGCACTGTAAACAGCGTTCTGCCTTAAAATTTTTTAATTGCAGGTAATTTAACTGAAACGCTCCCCAGAGGATTTTAAAACGGCAATTAACGGCTAGTTACCACTTGGAACGTTTAGTGTATCATCTACATTTATTAGTAAACATTTTGCGTACATAGTTTAAATTTCATATTTCATTAGTTCTGCAGGAAGTTGTGATATTTGGCCTCTAAGTTAGAAATTTGTCTTGGCACTTTGCTTGTTTACAACCACTAAATATTTACTAACGACAATGTAAACAAACTCAAGTTTATAAGGGTTTTGCAGTGATATAGTTATATTGTTTTTGTTTTTCTGTAACACTGCGGTTGATAGTGATATGAAACCTATTTGGTATGGCATATTTACGACAAATTATATAAAGGGTAGTCCTTACCATGTTCTGAGCATAAAGGGAATGATTCTACAACTAGTTTTAAGAAAAGAAATTTCTATGACATTTCCTAATCAGCCTAGTTTCCAAGTTAGAGAATGTTAAATTAAAAAAAATTGCTAGTACAAATTTGGAAGAAAGTATCTTTTCTGATCTATCAAATATTTGTTTTTTTTTTAATAAAACGCTCTGTATGTTTGTCGCTTATTGTCTCGTTTTTCTGAGTACAGTGATATACGAGTATACATCTCATATATTTTTTCCTGCAGAGAGGTTCAGTGTTTGCCAATTTCCTATTGCATTTATTTATGCACAACTAACTAACCTCCAATAGTTATGACAGATTTAAATACGCTCCGTGCGTAGATTTTTATTGCTTTATTATTGCTACTCCATAGAAATTACTACTAACGACATACATATTTGCAATTTCCTGTTCGAACGTACATAAAAATGTTGCCTTTACTTGGATGTCATAATAATATGCTCTACATTTCTTACATTCACTGTCAATGTCACCCAAGTTTTGACCTTGACATCGATACATATTTTATATACAGGATGCAACAAAACTTTTTAGTCAATGTTTTAGAATAACGTGTCATACAACACAAAAATATTCTTACAAACATGTGTCTGGAAACTTTTCGGTTTCGGCATCCATAAAAACGTAATGTTATTTAAATTAAATCGCTTCTGCTGCCGATTTTTTTAAATTTTCTTCATACACTTTAAACACCGTTTCTCGAAAGCGAAGTGTTTCCAGAAACAAGGAGTTTTTTCATTAATTTCTATGGTCAAGCATTTAATTTACATCCTGTGTATAATTTTAGTTTTACACTTGAAGCTAATTAAAAAAAATTGTATTGGTTTCTAATAGGTGAAAAGCTATGCTGGAACAATTTGTGATAGGTACATATATACATTTTCCCTGCTGTTTTAGTAGTTTTAATATATTTAATTTTATATTCTTTATATCACTTTAGTAGAATACTTTGTAAATATTTAAAAATATTAAATTAAAAGCTTTGAAATGTTTAAATCTTAGATCATGGACAGAATCAAAGCGTATAAGCAACAATTAATACAAGAGATTATATTCCTGGTTGCCTATACAGTAAAGTATAAAGATAAAGAAATACCTATACCTACATACATATTATATTCGTTATTATTCCATTACAACGAAATTTTGATGGGTTTTTACTTTTATACTTTATAAAAAACTAAAGTTGAAGCAAATTTTCATTGTAGGCAATAATTAAATCAAGTTGGTGTATTCCTGGTTGCCTATACTATAAAATGTGAAGACTAATGAAATATACGATTTAAAGAACTGAGGGTTTTGCAAATTTATTTAACATTATTTTGTTACTTTAGTATCACATGATCATATGTTTAATCATAAATATTGAGTTACATATTGAGAACTTGTTATGACTTATAAGAAAGTGCTCAAATAACACAACAAACTGGCAAGTAAAATGTACTGCAAGTGGTTATCGGAAGTTGTAGACGTGGACGACTGCGGCTCCTGAGGCTTCGCCATATTGCACCCTTTTTCCTGGCAAGTGAAACATTTTTCGGTAAATTCAATTTGTACGTTTGAGGGATTGTTGGTCTTAATATTTTTCAAAAACGTCTCACATTCTTCCCCACCCATGTCGAGGTAGCAGGACTTCAGGGTGATGTATTGCTTTAATAGCGGGTAGGGCACTGTAAAAAAATAAGAAATTTTAAAGGAAACAGCGCGACCTAATATTTATGTGCATGGAACTACTACAAAATGAGATTAAAATGAACAATTTGTTGTCTCTATTTATTTTGTGACATAACTTTAGTTTTTCTCTGTTGATTAAGTAATCGTCTTTTATTCATCTGTTTACCAGGTACCTGTGCAAACTTAAAAATTATTTAAAAAAATCCTAAAGAATCATCAGTGAAGAATTATTAAGAAATATCCAGCGAAGAGGGATTTTTCTGTAACTCTGCAACTGTAAAATTTATAAAAAAATGGTTTTAATAAAAGTTACTTGGAATCATGTAAGGAAAATATTTTTAGCTTTACAGTGTGTTCCATTTCGCGTGCGCGCTACATAACTTTCTTATTTTAAATGGAATATTATAGCGTTTTTGAATTCCTTGGTTAATATTAGGCAGAGTTTATTAAATCTACATGGTGTTTAAAACTTACCGTTTTCGAGATAATCAGTTGTTTTTGAAAAAAAAAATCACGATTTCAGCTGATTATCTCGAAAACACCATGTACATTTAATAAACTCTACCTAATATTAACCAAGGAATTCAAAAACGCAATAATATACAAAGTGTTCCATTTAAAATAACAAAGTTATGTAGCACCCACGCGAAATGGAACACCCTGTAAAGCTAAAAATATTTTCTTTGCATGGTCCACTTGATTCCAGACAACTTTTATTAAAACATTTTTTTTATAAATTTTAGTTACAGAAGAATCCCCAAAATAAATATTTTCTTGTGAAAATATGTTGGTTTATCATGTTTTAAGAGCCCTCTCAAAAAATCTGCTCAAAAAAAATTTTTTTAGAGGTCGCTCAAGATTTTTAAAAATTTCCAAAATCGTCAAAAATTGATTTTTTCTTTAAATTTGTTTTCTCGTTATTTTATTATTTTCTAGGTTGAAAAAAATCTCGATTCTGAAAATTTCAAATAGATATTTTAATATCTAAAGGTCACTCATAATTATTTTAATTTTCAAACTAGTGTACCTGTTTTCGAGCGACATCTAAAAAATAAATATCAACGAACTAATAATTTTTTTGATTGAATTTGATGAAAAAAAGAATAGAAATAAATCACGAGACTTAAATTTTAAAAAATTAAAAAATTATAAATATTTGATACGCACAGAAATTTTTGAAGTGTCTCGTGATTTATTTCTATTCTTTTGTTCATCAAATTCAATAAAAAAATTATTAGTTCGTTGATATTTATTTTTAGAGGTCGCTCGAAAATATTTTAGGTACACTACTTTTCAAGTTAAAATAATTATGAGTGATCATTTTCTAATGATGATGATTAAAATATCGATTTGAAATTTTCTGAATTGAGATTTTTTTCAACCTAGAAAATTATAAAAATAAAGAGAAAAAAAATTAAAAATAGAAAAAAAAATTTTTGACGATTTTGGAAATTTTTAAAAATCTTCAGCGACCTCTAAAAAAATTTCTTTTGAGCTGATTTTTTGAGGGGGCTCTTAAAACATGATAAATTAACATATTTATATAATACCTTCATATGAATATGTAGCCGACAAACACACTGCAGGATCCTGACATTTTGTAACTCCTCCTATCCCTTTACAAGGATCACCAGCATTTGCTGTAACAGTGACGGAACAGTTGTAGCATTCTAAGGAATTTCCTGAAATAATACAATTTTTATTTAACATAGATACTTATTAAATTAAGTACTCATAAATTAGCATGTTTTTGTGGATTTTAAATTTATGTTACCTTTAAATTAAAAACTGAAACACTGAGAGGTTCTTTCACGATTTGTATTTATTAACTCACTCTGTAGATATACAAACAAGGTATAAGATAGAAAAATTTTAACCTATTTGTCTGATTGATGGGCTTTCATTCAAATAGGAGCGAATTTCTACAAATCTGTAAGTTGTTCAGGTTTTCATTATGACCGTCTGCTAAAAAATAAGTCTACTCTTTATCATATAACTTATGTTCAAAATAAAGCCATCTTGTATTCCCGCATAAACAATGATCAAGCACGTGTCTACGAAACTATTGGTCGAAGAATCCGGATCCATCGGCGTAACCTCCGCCAAAAAAGCGCTTTCATACAGAGCCGTATGTCACAACGTTTAATAGCATTTATTTCGTGCGTATCATTCACGGTTCAATTTTGTTGCTGTTTTGTACTATTAAGTGCATTAAAAAAATAATAATATCGGAATAGTATTCGAGGGAGTAATAGCACTACTGTTATTAGACGAACGTGAATCGTGGATATAATTACTATTTTTTGATAAATGACTAATATTATCTTAGAAAGTTGTTGGCAAGGGATATATAAATTCTTTTTTTTTTTAGAAAAAAATGTAGTTCTTTCCTAAAGCGCTGCTACACCCTGTATAGTTATTACTTCACGGATTTCAGTTTCAGTTTATACTTGAAGCAATTTACAAACGAAGAAAAGAGTTTCAATTCAGTTGTTTTCTAATTATCATAATTTTTGGAGAAACATATTTGGATGCATTTTAAAAATATTGTTTCACGTTTCGGAAAATCTGTTCTCAACTGAAGATAACTTTAACACTTAACGTTACTCACCCAAGCTTACAAAAGTAACTACCAGAAGAACACCATAACACCTTTGTGCACTCATTGTGGGTAAATATTTAAAAATACTCGTATTCAGATATTTTGCGGTTTCATTCAGTCTCTGTTGTTTTAAGAATGGAACTATATTGTCTAGTGTAGTATAAACATACGAGTCTATAAATAAAACCTATCTGTAAAATTTATGTGCCACACGCTGACAAAAATTTACATCACATTTAAAATTAGGCCGCTGCGAAAAACAGGTGCAGTTTTTTTGGTAGTAAAAAAACAAAGCCGTTTATTCTATTATGCTATAAGAAATATGAGAGTTATAAATTTAAGGCTAAAATTATCTGGGAATGAAAAAGAATTAAATTATGAAAATGTTTTGAATGAAAGTGTAAGGAATTAGGTAATTTCTTAAAATGACACTTGTGGTTATTTCGGTAGATTAAACATGTGCCTGTCGATGAATATAGAGTTATTAATAATTTATGGGTAGGTGGTAATTACCTTACGCTCAAAAATATAACGATTATTTAATGTTAATTATAATTTTATATACATATTTCAGGAAAAGGTGTACAGGTCTTTTCAAGTTCAAAGCGATATCCAATTTCAAATACCCTGTATAGGTAATTTGTGAGGGTTGCTTTCACTGTACAGCAAAAATAAAACGTTCTCTCAACGGTAGAAATAAACTATGAAAACTAAGCTTGTGCAAAGACGTGTTGCCGGTTCGCGTGTTTGCTGGAGAGTCCCTGTGTGTGTGAAGTCGGTCGTAGGTATATGAGTAAGCATCTGGTCGCCGGCGCCAGTCCGCCGTAGACCCTTCCTGGAACGCTGGTGCGTCTGGCGGCGTCCTGCTGGCGCTCTTGACGTAATACGTAAATGGGTCACTTGCGAACATGTGTACCCACATTTGTATTTTATATATTATTTATACAGGGTGTTAATAATATAATCTGCCAATGGCGGATTTTATGAATTCAATGGAAAAGTTCTTATGGATTCAGCCCGTACAATATTTTTTAGATTCCAAGCAAAGAATAAGTCAATAAAGTTCTATTATCGGAACTACTGCAACAATTTAGGTCAGGGGCGTGCCTTGAATTCCAAATAAGTGACGCAGGGGTCTTTTTAGTACAAATATCGTACGGAGTGTATGTACAGGGTGTTGAAATTTAAGAAAAATATATCACATTAATCTAAATATGTTTGAATTAGATGCTTGACGTATATCGATAAATATTGGGCAAATGACTAATTATGGGCAAAAATTTTCCGTGTTGTTACACAAATCTGACAATCAATGACGGAGATTTTAGAACCACTGTTTTAAGACCCTGAAACAATTTGAAAACAAAAGATTCAAGTTCATTTAACTCCAATTTCCAATAAAGAAGATATCCTCCATTTTATTCTACTCGAGCCATTTTGAGTCATTATTTATTATTTTATTTACCTTTAAAACAAATCTACAACATAATTGAACAAATTCATCGTCCCACAACAATTTTTTTTTGGAAATATAATTTATCCAACTGAAGTCAAAGGAATAGTTGGCGTAGCAACTTTTAGGAGGTTACCACCCTTCAGAAAAATTTAAATTCCTACACCAATGAGTCAGTATCTCCGCCTCTGTGTACCAACTACCAAATTTTAGTCCATAGTTAATAAAGTCATTAGCCGTAGTTTCACCAATCTACGTCAAGCATCTTAGGAGATATTTAAATAAATGTCTTATTTAGCATTCTTGAAAATCTCCGTACTCTTTAAGATTCATTAATTTATAGCGCCCCCTAATTTTTTGTGAAACTTAAAATTTAAAAAAAACGAAGACTTGTTTCCGTTAAGAAATTTAATAAAATTCTTAGTGACAATAACAAAGAAAAATTAAAAAATTCATTATTAACAGTAAAAAATTTTAAAAACTTTTGAAATCTTGCTATAACATAACTTTGAAGATGTAACAATGACGTTTATGACCTTTCTTAATGTTACTTTACTATTTGCATGTAGTTTAAGATAAATATTTACTTTTGGAAATTTTAGGCTTCATAAAGAATAAAATATGGAAAACTATAAATTATGTAATTAAACCTCAAATCACAAAAATCCCTAATTTAATTTTACGGTCACCATTATGAAACTTGGTTCGGAAGATGCATTAAGACACCTTGTATATGCAAAGAAATAATCGTCACAATGTATACTACATACATTAAAATTTATCAAGGAGTTCCGGAATAAGTCTGTATTTTCGAACACTTAGTTTTGAAACACATATTAAAAAAGCAACTTAAAAACACTTTTATTTGTATAACCTACAACGTTTCGGTACATAGAAATTTTACTTTGAGAAAAAAGTCACAATTATATGCAAAAAAAATGTTCAATCTAGCTACGACTTAAGGAGGTGTATCGGGATCCGAGGGAAGTGAGGATCGCAGGGGGTGGTCCTATGCTTTACTTGGGACTAAAACCCACTACCAACTTGAAAAAATTAAATTCTATTGAAATTATTTGCGATAAACATTATCTATATAGCAAAGAAATCTACTCAATATGCACATAACATACATATTGAAAATTAACAACATAAACATATCATATTTAAGTCGTTTTAAATTATATTTAATGAACGCATAAACACTATGTAGACGTAGCAACAGCGCTAATAATCGAGTGCAGTTGAACACATAGCGAACCTACAGACCTCGGACATCGGAGATATTGTGCGTCAAATTCGGGTAAAGATGCGTACGCGTTCAAAATTGTATTGTGTGTAAACTATGTAAAATATATAGCAAATATATCGTATTATATCGTATATCGTATTATCCTCGCGAAGATTTGTATCTTTTATTTAAAATCCGTAAATCATGTGAACTGGTAAAACAACGAGAAAATAATTATATTAATTTAGTTCTAAAGAAATGAAATGACACTCATCCCATCTCTCGTCCAAGTCAAAGAAAATGTTGGATGCAATTTTGAAGGTTCTGTGATAGAAATTACATTATTACTCACTGTTCGTGTTTTTCATCTCTATTTTAATAAAAGTTTTGCAACTATAACTAATCTTTTAGATATAAAGTTGCTGAGAAATATTTATGTACCTTTATTATTCTGTACAAATGCTTTTACCTCAAGTATTACTAATTATATTAGTAAACAAAATTTTATGTAACCCTAAATATTGCTGGGTACGGATTACGATGTTTTTATAAACCATTAAATTCATTAAAAGGATTTATCAACTGTATTTTTTATTCCAATAAATATATCGCAGCTTCCTAGCCTTTTTTAATTAATTTAGTTTTTTAAAAACATTACAAAAAATAATCTGTTGTGGATAATTTATTCTTGATAACAATGTACATGGGATTTAGAAAAAATGTATATGTTTGAAATCAATTTCGTTTTTAACAAGTCTTTCAAATGTATTCCCTCCTTGCTGTCAGCTGATTGCGACGTTGCCACATTAATCCTCAAGTCAGACAGAAATGCAATTATTGGTTTCTGTTTCTAATTAATACAGCTGTACTATGTTCAAAACTTACATTAGTTTTACATAAAAAATAAGATAATACTATAATGGAAATAATACCATCTATGGAAATGTTTTGTTTCACAATTTCTACATTTTTTTCTCAGTTATGGGCAAAAAAAGAGCCGCACCGTCCATCTTCGCCATATAAACTTATGTTAAAATGAACAACTTTCAACAACAATATCTCAAAATCTAGATTCAAAAAACATTTCAAAAATATATGACGCACAGAGGGAGCACTGGGTAATACGCTATATAAATTTCAAGTACATCTGTGCATTTTAGTAAACCCGATATACCTCCTTAAAATAACAGTAATCAAGTTAAAATTGGAACGATGTTGTGAAAGCCACAAAAAATGCTCCAATAAATAAAAAGGCAGACAATGTCTCTTTTCCTGGTGCGGAATTGCAGCCATCTGTCGAGCAAACTTTGCACCCCTCATGGTACTTGACTTTGAACAGAGACGGGGTGGTTTGTTGAACCTTTTTTAGGAAAAATTCGCACTCGTGGTCGTTCATCTCCGGGAAGCAAGTCATAGCCGAGATGACCTCCTCTTCATTTTTCAGGGGCTCTGCAAAAATTAAATTCATATTCAAAGAGGCGTTCTAAGCTCAAGCTTCTAAAAACCTCATGGTTAAATAATTATGTTTTCAATTACAAGGCAATGCTAACATCTCGTCGTTGTATGTATTTCATGATGATTTATATAAAAAATAGTCGTTAACAATTTTCTAAATATTGATATGTTTGTAGTGAAAACGCCGATAAATAAAATGAGGAAAAGAAAGGAAAAACTTGAAAATATATGGTCGAAATATAGAAAATATACTACTCCTAGGTCCCAAGCAACATGATCGACTGTTTGTTAGCTGTCGATATACAGGGTAGCCCATCGAAAACGTACCGCAAGGCATTACTGGGTAGTAATGAACTTTTCGACAAAATCCAAAAACAGGTAAAGTTTGCTTCTGAGGGGGACAACTTTTGGCGCAAAAAGCATAGCAAAATCTTCAACCCCCTAAGTGGGGGTGCCATCCCCCAAATTTTTTTAAATGGGAATGGGGTCAAGTGGGGGGTCATTAGAAAGGCCTTTTAATTCTCTATACATCGATTCTTACTTTTTGAAAATCGATCCTTTATTTTAGAAAATATGCAGCTTTTAAAAATACGATCAATATTTTTGACGAGAAATGCGAAAATCGATTTAATTTTACTTCAAAACTTACGCTTGGTAAATTCCTTCAAAAGAATTCGCTGTTTTTTTCCTGATTTGCGAATTCTTTAGCCTGATTTTGGTGAGCAAAAAATTGTCCGCTTTTTGTTTCGTATTTAGATAGGCCACAAGAAGTTGCTAGATAACTGTCTTGTGACTTGTAGTTGAAGAGTACCAATACTGCCGAGTCTTTTAAATTGATTAATTATGGTGTACTTAATTCCAGAAAGAGTAGAAATTATTGAGCTTTTTTTCAAAAACAATGAATGCTGAAATCGGGTCGCCGAATCAACGGCATCCTGAGAAACATGTGTCTGGAAAAATTGTTCGCGAATTGGTGGCCAAATTTCGCGAAACTGGCTCCGTTCATAACAAAAAGAG